GACCACATATAATCAAAGTAAAACTTTCAAAGTAAAACATGAATGATTCATTAAGAATGGCCAAAACATTATATGAACTGGACAGCTTCCAAATCCAGTCTTCCATATATATTTTTTATTTGTAACATGTACATTTCGAGCAAAGCACCCCTGTATGGCCGTATTTGATATCGCGCATGAAATCTGAATATGGAGTTCCCATAAGGGTGGGAGGCTTTCAGAGAAGAGAATTTTCAAGACTGAGCTCTTGAAAATTTACTGAAAGGCGTCATTCCCATCCATGCAATCACCTTTGCCAAGTCCGCACCACCATTAAAAGCCACCACGCTGGAGCAAGGGAAAGGCGAGAGATTGCAGACGGTCACAGCCGGAAAAGTGAGATATTCCGGAACGATCACGGACACGGTCGTGGACACGGAGTAATCCAGATACTCCATTACCACCTGGATGATCCCCTGCAGACACGAAAGCGAATTGGAGTCAGGCGAGGACCTCCTCGCATCCAAACGGCGGGGAACTCACGTAGACGGTGGCAGCCGTGGCGACCGCGGTGATGAACCACCAAACGAATATCCGGAATGGATGAGTGGCTTTGCTGGCATTCGTGATGCCGTTAATGCCGGTGGTGCGGTAGAATTCTCCCAAGACATTCCACATGTTTTCGCTCCAGCCCGCTCTCCCTTTTCCCCTCTCTTGAATGAAACGGACTGAGGTCGGTATATCGAGGGAATGGGCTCGAATATTGGTCTCCTTTCGTCACATTCACCTGTAGAGAGAGACGATATATCATACCCGAATATATTATTCATAGCAGGGAGTCTCTGATTTCCTCGCAGGCCTCCCAACGACAAAAAGATTAGTATCCAATAACCCCGCTGAGTGGCTTAATTACAAATCAGGTCGGGCCTGTGAAGTCCAAGTTCTCAACTGGTCTCGAAAAAATATACAGGGTCGCCCCATAGAGAAAAAAAAATGGACGGAATCAAAACGAATTGCCGTGGGACCTATGATACGAAAGCACGGCAAGGAATGGAATATGATTTCCCAGAAGATGTACTGGGGCCAAGATGTACTGGGGTTGTCCGAAAAGTTCTCTGTATTAATTTCTAAAATAAGTAACAGTCGAATTTCGGTGAGCACTGGTTCAAACCGGCATCTCGACCGGCTAAACGCCGGAGACGAGTGCAGATCATTGCCACTATGATCGCAAGGGGACGGTGGCATCGCTCGTCGTCTTGCCTTCCCCCCTGCTGCAGGAAATCCTGGGGTTTTAAGCGTCCGTTATGAAATTGGGGATATATATTTTTCTTAAACTCTCTTCGCATTCGCCTCCGTTCACCGATCGGGTTCCGACGATAATCACAGGTCAACGAGACCGTCAGGATTTATAAATATTAGTAGGCAGCCCGTGCAAAAGCATGGCAGTATTTAAAGGCGCAGAATGCACACGTGGGCATGGGAGGCCGCCACACTCCCCCCCCTGTCCCTTTAGCTGGCAATGTGAGAAGGCAGGACGCGGCAGATGCAGCCCTAATTTCTCGGTCCGCCCTTGCGCCTGCGTTAACCGTCGTTGCGAGGGACGGGGATCTGACGCCGAGAGAAGACGAAAGGGTAACCCAAAGATGAAGGCATTCCCTTAAATCGTCGCCTCTTAGGACAATGTGATATGAGGACTTTCATCCGCGACCTCACGCTACTCACATCGCAGCCCGCCGAGCTACAAAAAAAAACTGAAGATGGCGCACCCATAGGAACAGTATAGGCATGCCTGCTGCAATTGAAAGCCATACTTGTTAGGCTCATGACCTCAGTCACCATTCCTTCCCCCGATTTTTCAGCCAAACTTTCTTCTATTCAATAAATACTAACTCTTAGGAAAACAGCCCGGACACAGCAGGCACTATAGGTTCTCGGAGGGACCAATAAGCCCTAACGAGTGATTCCAATCACGATGAATATGGATCTAATACTTCAGTTGCTCATGGCAGAAAAGAGCAGTAGAGAAAATGCCGCGATTCAAGTGCGAAATGATTCATAGAGATTAAAGCAGGCCGACGGTGCGCGTTGGCGGAGTGAAGGAGCAAGTACCGCAGGAATCATTGGAGCATCCCTACTGAATGCTTCAGCATGCCCTGCCGAGACCCGCCAACACTTTTACCGTGCAGGAAGTGGTCGCCAGTTGGTTTGACTTCATGCCACGCACCGGGTGTAAAATAGGTCGACGGTGGTGATGCGAAGGCGGCGCGACGTTATCACCTTCGAAGGGCAAGCGACCTCGGTAAAGCCAGGCCTGGAAATTCAGGCCCTTTCGAGAAATTGGAGATAGAGAAACGGGACGGTTACGATACCGCCGACGTCGTCGTCGATCCAAGAGTAAGCGCTCCCGTGCCGTTCAGGTGGGATCCCGCCATTTTCACACTCGGGAGCCACATACTGGTAACGGGGTTTTATTTTACGATTTCCACAAGCGGCTACAAAAGAAACGATTTCGCCTGAGCGAAATATTGCAGAATGCCTGTTTTTTTGCAAACGAATTCAAAGCAGTTAAATCAGCGAATCTTCGACAGCAGGGAGCATATGAAAATATGGAAAGGAGGAAAAGAACCCAAATGAAACAAATCACCACTAAACGCTCAACCTTGCAACAGGAGAACCCAAACGTTTCAGTTTACAAATTTACCGTCCATCAGCTTGCAGTCTAGTTTTACAAGTCGACCTTTCTTTTCTCTCCCAGCAGAGCGGGAAAAACTTCGCGAACGACAACGAATACTTACTTGTATCGCCTGGCTCGTCTCACCGCGGAGGAAAAGGCCGCAATCATGCAAGACAGAGACGAGTTCATCCGCACATGCACCTACGAGGGCGTCGATTGCACCAGGTCAATTTACAAAATTTGCGCATCCAGACTTTTACTGGTTCGTTCGAAAAATCCTCTTTCTCCGTGCAGCTATTTCTTGCCGTACGTGAGCACGACTTACGGAACCTGCTATTCCTTCAACCTGATTCTGAACAACGACTCCGATCCGCTCGCCGGATCCAGGAAAACCGTCTTCACCGACAAACCCTATGGTACGAAGCTCTATTTTGTCCCTCTGCTCCTCTTCCATACTCAATAAGGGTTAAGCATTATATAGCAATGCAAATCAAAGGAGCAAAAAACAATAAGGGCATTTCTTCTGCTTGTTGCAGCTTTTCGAGCATTCACTTCCGGATCACATTATTTTCAAATTGTCCCATTGAATCGCTTGGTGTTCGCATAAAATATGACAGAAATTCCAATCCCGCTGCAGTATTTATGATGATGTTGGAAAGTATTTGCATTAAAATTTCCTTTTTGGAGGGTCGAGAATGTCTAAAAATGATCGAATTGAATGATGTACACGTGATATTTAATCAGTTATGCGAAAATATGTACTCCTCCCCTTAATGAATCATTCATGTTTTACTTTGAAAGTTTTACTTTGATTATATGTGGTCACAACGCACAGGGATGGCTGTTCTCATTCACTCGATTTGTTATTCCACAGGGTTGGAGTTGGAGTTGTACCTGAACGCGAGCGAGTGGCCGTCGAGCGTGCTGTCGTTGGAGGGCGGCGTCCGCGTCGTCATCCACCGACACGACAGCCTCCCTTCCCCCGAGGAGACCGGATTCGATGGCCTGCCACGAATGTCGCCCTCAGACAGGTCCAAACCTATGACTGTCGACCTAAGATAGGCGCGACTTGTCGGGTACAGGAACGTTTTCATCAGGATTTAAAAAGCCGGGGGGAAGCTGCAATTTCAGGTTCAGATAACGAATAGAAAATTAACCATGAATGTACTGCATGCTGAAGCCTCGCGTGGATAAATATTCCAAGAATATGTACACACTCCACGAATGAGTGAAAAATGGATTAAATATAGTTGAACTGCAAAAATTATTTGGAGGAGAAACCACTTTATAAAAATGGAATGTATCATTGGAATGTAACATGTTTCTATTTAGAAATAAATTTGAAAATGAGACTAGAATTCACGTCGAATCGTTTAATTCTATTAATGACAGGCGGCTGAATCGTTTTTATTCGATTCATTGGGCAATCTTAAAAGATACAAATGAGGAAATTTTTAAATTGAGTGACACGGTGCAGCCAGCGTATTAGCCAAGACTGTCATTTCTTTCAGCCGCGTCCGTTCGCTTTTCTGCATCTGCGATACTTTAAATCGATCGAGCGAAGAAAATTTTCTCCTAAAAGGTTTCAGAGGAGATTTCATACCCGGTTTTGAGCATTTCACATTGCCAGAGCGGAAGTGCGCCAATGAACAGGGATTGAGGAGCAGTTGGCCTGGTGCTCAGATTTTCCATCCGTGAATCGCACATCACAAGTGAAGACCACCTTTGCCCCAATGGGTGCTGGGTATCCCCCCGTCCCATTTCTGGTATGACACCTTTGCATTCTCGAGCATTGGATACTCCGTCAAGCAGAACTCTGCAAATCAACTTAGGTTCATGAAGCAAAGAACTCACTTTTCAAGGTTAATGAGACGTCCTATTATAGCGACTTCGAGTTTCGAAATCAACTTACCAAAGTCAGAGAGATAAATAGCAATTATTATATTGAGAAGAGGGGGGCTCCTACAAATGGCGACATCTGGCATGCCAGAAAGTGTAGACGTAGAATCTAAAAGCAGGTTTAGCTATTGGAGAGACATCAGTGTCAAAATATTTTGTAGTCTCAAGCCATATTTATGAAAAAAGACTCCATAGTATCAGAAAATTCCCATCTGGATGGACTTTCATTTCAGACCTCACGCACAGCCCTTCGTTGCACTCAATAAATTTTGAGAAGATGCCTTGTCCCAGGAATGATACTCGAATTCATCAATGGGGTGCCCGGCGGATGTCCAAGGGGATTTTAGAATATCATCGATGCCAGTTATTTGGGGTATATACTTCACTCTGGCGTATCTGTCTGGTGTATCGATCAGGATATTGCATCATTTACACTTATCAACCTTACTCAGGATGTGCAAGGCTCCTCAACCTACTTAATCTATTTGATGGAAGCATCGAATCAAGGGAATAGAAATGAAGCAAATGACGGAAGAGGATGACATTGGTTGTGGTGTAATGTGCTTCCCATGCTCCTTTAATTAGCAACCCTTTGCATTAGAGCATTTGTCGGGACATGACTGGGTAGAATCATTCCAGGCCCTTAAACTTTTGCCGAATTAATAAGAATTCAATATAAATTAAGAAAGCAAAGGGTTCATTCGATGCCCTCTTCTTCTGCATTCCACGTTTTCAGGTGCTTCTTTTGTCGTTTCATACGTTCCTGCAGTGATCTTCACCCTACAATCCAAAAATAGAATATTTAATTCTGGACGGAACTCAAATAACGCATTCTATTCTTCAGCTGACCAATGCGTTCCGCCGTTTGATTTAATTAATTATTGAGCTCGATCTAATTGGATCAGCAGGTGATGAGGTGCAGGTTAGAATTCAAACTGAAATAATTTCATTGTGCATCAGCCATCTTATAATCATTCACATGAACAATGATTTCGAAATACAAGACACATAGTGAATGATAAGGCTATGAATCAAGGCAACCGCAATGTCTGCCTAATCTATTCAAAAAAGTTCGCTCATGAGCGTAAAAGAAGGGAATAGAATGCTGTTCCCGAAGAAGGCGATTTAAAAAAAATTATTTATGAGTGCGTTTGTTTTGCTCAATGTACAAATAGTCACTGCTATTTTGCGAGTAACCACCTGAATATCGGAAATTTTTGCATTGAGATCTAAGGCCGATTTACTGACGCTCATTTACTACAGTACTTCGATACTCTTGAAAATTGAGGGGGAAATAACCCCGTTACTCTGAATGCGTCCCATAGGACATCTTGGAACCCAAGAAACAAATGAGATTGGGGAGCTCACTCTGGACGTAAGCCACACCAATCCATTGGAGGGGAGGAGATTGCTTCTTTCGTTCGAAATCAGTTGAAAAGAGTTATTGGCATTTCGGTAGTTATAGGCGTTACACGGATTCGGTCGCTGCGTCACGCACGAGATGCTGTACTCTGACCTACGCTTTGCTGGAACTTCCCGAGAGACGTTCCCATACCTTTTCCCAGGGTGAGATTGGTAATATGCCAAGAAGCCAAGTACTGTCTTTAGAAGTAGGAGGTAGACGAGGAACAATCGTATCCTCCCACGTCGACCCATTTCGATGAACTCGGTTCTCACTTGCGCTTCCTATGTGTAGTCTTTTCTCTTTATAAGGGGTTAGACGTTGCGTGACGAAGCGGGCAGCTTTCGTTTTTCCTCCAACCAAATCCGGAGAAGGTTGTTATTGATCAAATTCGTCTTCCGGAGCGCGCGCGTTGTTGGGAGAAGGGCAATATGAACTTTCCAAGTTTCGCTACAAGAATTTTCTATGGGATTGAGGTTTTAGACGCTTTGCTGACTGCGATTCAAGTAAAGCATAGCATGACCCGTGGGATTTTATGTAAAAATTTTAAGCCTAAATTCTTGTTCAATGTTCAGAGAGAAATCCAAATGTATAATTAAATTCCATAATTTGAATATTTCAGAAGGAACCCTTGCTGGAACTTCCTTTCTAATGTTGGCATAAGAAGAAGCACCGTCTGTCTTTGGAGTCAATTGTGGCTGACGCTTGAAATAGATGGATTATGTGCCGTGATTTGCCTTAATCAACGATCTTAAACGCTGATTCCAGTTTTACTCTCGTTTTACTTTAATGAGAGTAAAAATATATTGTACTTACTGTACGTACATTGCTTTCTTCTTTTTGCCATTCCTTAGAAAAAGAGAGAAAAAAGATGATAAAAAGTAAAAGAAAATGATGCTGGCGATTGCACAGGAATATTTTTGAGAGTGTACCCAAATGGCAAAACATCGGCAAAGCAACCATGGCATGCCATCGGCAGTGAGTTGGGCCCTTCCTTAGAATGTCATTTCTAGGCGGAAGCAGTTTCATGCAAAAACTGCCAAGGTTCACCACCAAAAAGGGACTCTCGCAGAAACACAAGTTACTTTTTTATGTGCTGCTTTCAGGCGAACATAAATAAAAAAATTTCGTATGAGTATACACCGTAGTTTCAAATAACGTTGAATTAACATTGATTCAACGTATTTTCAACGTTTAGATCTTGAATCAGCATTGAATCAATGTTGTTTCTATCTCATATGCCGCTAGGGTATGGGCTACCCTGAACTTCCTGCTTCTCTTCAGCTAAATAATAAATTTTCAGCCTCGTCAGCGGTCATTAATTAAAAAAAAATTTTAAATAGGGGATACGGAAGAACTTGCTACCCAAGAATTCTCATGAGAAGGCGCATAGAAAGGCTTCGATCCTCTTGCACCTGGTAATAATCACAACCCATCCCTTGAACAGAAAATAACTGGAGGGGATTCATACCACCTTGGATAAGCTAAACTCCTAACATTTGACCAGATAATTGCTAGTTTCCCAATGTTTTTAATGAAACGACAATGATGTTGGTTCTAGCTCGTTCTACTTAGAGTCTAATGAATATAAGCATAACCTCCCGATTCCAATTCCTTTCCTTTCTTGTCCAAACTCAATATCCCTGTTGCCCCTTGGCAACAGGGAACGCAATCCTAAGGTCATCGACCTGCAGGCTTTATACATATAATCTTGCCAAAATTGCACGTGAACGTTCAAATCGGGATCCATTTTGGCTGTCCCATGTTCACCTTTTGCGCCCTCATTTAAGATGCCGTTTCATCAGAAACATGAGGGATTTGAAGGGCATTGGTTGAATGTTATAGATGTGTTTTCCTCACGCATATCTGAGGTATCTATTGGGCAATGGATTCAAGCGAAGGTTCGCACAACCGACGCTAGATGACGCCAAAATAGTTACACATAGCGGGTTTATTTCTGTTACGACTGTAATAGTCCGTAATACATTCCACACGCTTCCTGACCTTTCACCTCATAATCCAAAGGGGAAAATATTTGAATTATTCAAGAAAATGGTCTTAAGTGGTAACACAGTCAAAGGAGTCGTCAGAAAACTCTGGTTTATTAAATTATATTAAAATTATTAAATTAAATGTATCATGAGGATGAATGGTGCGATTCATGAAATGAATTTGATTTTCTCTTCGACGTGAAAACATCTGTGGCTCAAAAATTCGCATGAGAAATTATTGTTTCTGGAACTGCCTCGGGAATGAATTTTCCACGCTGCTAAGCATCTCAGATTCTGATTTCGAATTCGGGTGAATTCCACAAATTGACATAGCCATTCCATGTTTTTTATTTATTATAATGACATCATATTTCCGCTGTTCTGACTGTTGAGACACTGTTTCCGCCTCGTGGAGGGAACAATAGGTACGCTGGAAACTTTAAAATTGAAATACACGGTATAGATTTACAGCATGACACACACCCCTTCGTCGAATACCATAAACTATGTATTAAAATGCCCCTTATGCACCAGTAAATGCGGGAATCTTTTTCAATCATTACTCCAAAAAAAAATTAGTAGAACGGCTCTTTCAAAAAAGACAGAAAGGGTTTATAAAGCAGCTGGGCGACTGCAAGGGATACCATGGTGGGTATTTTCTTCTATCACACCTTCTGAAAAATGGACTGGCTCCCAATGTTACAATGAACGGCGACGAAATAATTTTCCTTGAGGAAAAAGATTATTTAAAATCAGGATCATCGATTCCT